AGTTAACTGATAGGTTTTAATTTCCTAATTGTCCTAGCAATCCAGAAATCTAAAGATTAAAGAGATTACATTATAATTATCAAATAATACATCAAATGGTTCTTTCCAGTAGGAAACCTTAAAAATTAAAAAAAAAAACCTGTTAAAATAGCTATCAGTCTCACAGATGCCTGCTAAAAGAATGTAACAACTCCTTACATTATCAAGAGCTAAGATCTGAGCTGTTTCCTCTCTTAACTAATTAAAAAGTTGAGATACATATTCTCCCTCAAAACCCCATGCCTCTCCCAACCTACCCCCCAAAATAAACCAGCCAGAAATAGGATCACCCTTACAAATATTATACGTAGTTTTCTTCTAAAATCTGTCATTTTCTACCTTGTGTTATAATGTCTATGATCTTCGGCTGGGCATGGTGGCTCATACCTGTAATCCCAGCACTTTGGGAGGCCAAGGCGGGCGACAACCTGAGCTCAGGAGTTCAAGACCAGCCTGGCCAACATGGAGAAACACCATTTCTACTAAAACTACAAAAATTAGCTGGGCATGGTGGCAGGCACCTGTAATCCTAGCTACTCTCAGGAGGTTGAGGCAGGAGAATCACTTGAAGCAGAGAGGCAGAGGTTGCAGTGAGCTGAGATCATGCCACTGCACTGCAGCCTGGGTGACAGAGCTAGACTCTGTCTCAAATAATAAGAAAAATAATAATGTCTATGCTCTTTTAATCATACTAGATTTCCAAACCACTGAAGGCAGGCTCAATTATACTGCATCTTTCTAGGTATCTCCCATAGTATAGTAAATAGTCTTGATCAATAATCTGAACTTTTTGCAAACTCTATCAGTTAAAAAGAATTAAGGTTTGGTAATTCTTTGTAACCTGGTTTAAAACAAACAAACCTCTATTAGAGAAGCAGGGGGGTGGATGGAGGAGAGGGGAGTGCATACTAGTTGTTTGCTGTCAGCTAAGCACAAGCCAGACCAAAGAACCTTTTCTCTCCTTTCCCCTTCAAAAGCTAAATTTTATCCAAGTCAGTATCAGTGTCCCTGAGTTAAGAACAGTCTGCTTAACAGGAGCTGAAGAGGCTGGTGTAATCTAGGAGGAGGCTTTCGTAGTAGTCCGCAAGCAAGTACAAAAGGAAAAAAATCAAAGTTTATCCCATACGCTACTGATCAGGTCAAAAGCCAAAGAAAACCCTAAAACTTGGACTGTTAAAAAAGAGTCCTATAAAATTCATGGAATCCAAGTATTTTTGGGGTTTGGTTTTGTTTAAAACAGGTGTCACTCTGTCACAGACGCTGGTCTTAGAACTGCTGGGATCAAGTGACCCTCCCACCTCAGCCTCTCCCAAGTAGTTGGACTACCGTGCGCTCCACCCCATCTGGCTAATTAAAAAAAAAAAAAAAATTTTTTTTGTAGCAAAGAGGTCTCACTCTGTTGCCCAACCTGGTCCTGAACTCCTGAGATCAAGCCATTCTCCCACCTTGAACTCTCAAAGTTTACACTGAATTCGACCTATACCAGATAAACCTCACATCAGTATGACCTCCCTGCAAACTCTGCAAATGCATCCATTAACAACTGGCCCCCACTAGTGAAAAGATGAGTATAACCTGCAATGTGTATCAGATGTTAAGCTTTCTGACATGCTCCAAGTAATGTCCCTGACTTGTAGGTAACAGCAGAGCCCATACTAGAGGCAAAATGGCAGAGCAGATGATCATTCAAGACAACTCAGTTTTCAAGACTGAAAAGGACATATTTGCAAATACATGGGAAAAGATCTAGAAGATCATACAGTGCTGTTAACAGTGATACCCTTCAGTCAAGGGTATACAAGTAGCTGTGCTCCCCAGATTCCTCTGGGGAGGAATGTGGGCTAGAAGTGGAAGTTCATGTAAAGGGGTTGTCACTTATTATATATACATTGTATTAACATTTTACAAGTATCAATTTATTTCTGTAATTTTAAAAAAAAGAGTCTCAGCTTCCCGGGAGGTTGAGGCAGGAGAATCGCTTGAACTCGGGAGGCGGAGGCTGCAGTGAGCCGAGATCGTTCCACTGCACTTCAGCCTGACGACAGAGTGAGACTCCATCTCAAAAAAAAAAAAAAAAAAAAAAAAAATTATACAAAAAAAAAAAAAAAAAAAAAAAAAAAAGATTTTGAAATGTAATTCCACTTTTTAAAAAGACTGAATGGATCCACATGGAATTCAAATAAAAAATAGGTGCCATTTTGCAGAAGTCTATTAGAAAAACCAACATATCAAACAGAAATAATACAAGTATCTTATCCTACAAGATAAAAGGGAATACTGGTAATATTACAAAAATGCCCACAGCAACTGCAACCCATTACTCACTATTCACTACTTTGATTATACAGTATTAGTCACCAGAGGGAGTTTGAGGGTCCCCTTCCAAAATTATATCTCGTCTAACAACTGTCTGTGCAGTCTTAACCTCATTAAAAAGGTTTACAACAATCCAGTCCTAAAAAAATGTTGACTTTGTACCAACAGAACACTGTCTTTTACTTTTTCATGAAAAACAACTACATACACATACATAAACACACACACACACACACTCTTACTTTACTTTTCACTAGGGTTCATGTTTTATTTCCTCGAAAGAAAGAAAAGTTTCCCAGCCTGAAAAGCAAACTAACCTGGACAATCAAGTCTACTAGCATTTTAAGGGAATGTTCATATCCTCCAATTGTTTGTCATGAAACTTTGCGGTTAAGTAAAATTGTATACACCTATGACTCCTGAAAAACAGAGAAGAGGGAAACACCAACTACACTCTCAAAGCAGCATAATCCAGTCATGATGCCAAATGTAAACAGCCATTATATATTTTAGAGGCGCGAGATGTAACTAAACATCTTCAAAAGATAAATGTCTAAGATCTTGGCATCTTAAAAATTAAAGTGTAATAGCCATAAAATGTATCCCAAACTTTAGTTGATTTTCCTAAAAAATATTAAAAACAATCATATTGAAAATGACCCAAATCACCATAAATTAGGCAACAGAAATCACATAAATTATTTGGGGGAGGAGGATTTTTGTTTAATCCAGTTTATGGGTCCATAATGGACACAAGATTTGAAAACATGAAGACATACACAACGTACATCTCATTTCCCACCATTCCCTTAGACTATTTCTCCCTCTCCCCCATTGTTGTTAGTTTTCTAGATCCTCCCAGAATTTCTTCATATAAAGAGCAAACATAAATTGGTATTGCACCTCGCCCTTAAAACATAACACACTATTCACAATGTACTACACCTTGCTTTTTTCATTCCTAACAAATTTTTGAGATCTTTCCATGTCAGAACACAGAAAGCTTCCTCATTCTTTTTTCATAACTGACTATGCCTAGCTCTAGCACGTTTTCAGTCTGCTTTCTTCGGGCGAACCTTTAAAGACATTCTATTCAGGCAACCACTTAACACTTGAATTAATTTCTTTCCCCCAAGATTTGAAAACAACCAGATTTGAGGTGTCCCAAGGGATAAGTTTCAGAGAAAGCAACTCATTATCTAAATTACATCCTTTTAAGAATGTTTATCTTCAAACAGGTAAAGGGGAATATTGCACAATTTTCTCCTCTAATCACTTAAAGACAGAATGCAATCTTCACAGTGAAATTACCTTTGATTTGGGGGATCAGGGTTATAGTCAAATCAACAACGACTGTAAAGTTTCTTTACTTCTTGTGCTTTTCTGCCAGTGTAAAAATTTATTTTTTATTTTTTAAAGAAAGCTAAAAAGCCTTAAAGTCGTAGAGCGTGGCATTCTAATTGCATGAAACCACAACCTGATTTGATCTTTCATCTGCCAGGTCAGAGACTGAGGCTTTTATCTTGCAGAATTAGGCTCACCTACTATCAACAAAATGACTTCTACACAGCGACAAACACTTTCAAAGAATATAAACTCTGCGGCGCTGCGTGTAGGAAATTACACTCCAGGGGCCAGAGCGCCAGGGCCAACTCCAGAAAACCCAGCTTCACCAGCGGAAAGAAACCTACAAACACCAGCTGCAGTGACGGGGAGCGGGAAGCGCGGTTGCAGGGAAGAAGAGAAACCGAGTGCCTCGCCGCCAACCCTCGAACCCGCGCGGTCGCTGGAGTCAGACGCTCGGAGCCGCGCGCTGCCCAGGGACGGAACCCCGGAACCACGACCACTAACGGAACCAGCCCGCGGGCGGCAACGGCTGCCGCTCGGACTGCGGACCGCGGCGCGAGGGCCGGGCGCCGGGAGGGCGGGGGTTCCCCGGAGGAGCTGGCCGCCCCGGCGCCCCATTGGGCGCCGCTCCAAACGTGCCCGAGTGGTGACAGGAATAAAGTGGGTCACAAGGCCTAGCGGGTCCCCAGAGAAAGCTTTCTCGGCACCCAGTCCCCGGCATTCCCCGCCTCCCAGCTGCTGAAATGGGCCGCAGCTCTGGGCGCCCTCAAGCCACCCTGCCCCGCCATGCACCCCAGTCCCGCCCCTGCCCCGCAGGTAACCCCAGCTGCCCCAGAGGGCCTCTCCGGCAGGGCGGGCCTCCGCCCCAAGTCCCGGGAAAAGACAAGCTAGAATGAGACGCCAAACTTGGGCTTCAGCTCCCGCCTTCCCCACCTTTGGCCGCCGCCCCCCGGCCCAACACACACCGCCCCCCGCTCCCTCCCCTTCCCCGCGCCCTCACCTTGTGGCTTGCCGCAGCTCCGGCTTCTTCCCTCCCCCACCCAGGTCTCTCGCTGCGGTGACTCGGAACCACTACCCTGCCTGTGTGCAGGAGGCGCCGCGGCTCCCACCTCCAGCAGCACCTGGGGCTGAGTGGCGCCCCCCACCAACCCCCCCCAAAAATTCGCCGCTACTGTGGCCCACTCCTCCTCCCCCTCCCTTCCCTTCCCTTCCTCCAGCGGCCGGGAGCGCGCATGCGCCGCCAAGGAAGCCAACCGGCGGACGGCAGGCCCCGGGCCCACCCGGCGGACGCCACTCACCGGGAGCGCTCGCGGCGGCGGCCAGATTTCCTTCGCGCTCTCGCTCTCCGGGGTTTCCTTTTTTAAACCGGCAGCCGCAGGCAGAGTCGGTGATTGCGCCCCCTCCCGGCGCATGCGTCGTCTGCGACCCGGCGGGCTCCGACAGCCAGCGGAGGCTCTGCGCTCGCCCCTCCCCTCACTCTCCCTTTCCCCGGCGCGGCTCGATGCGCATGCGACTTTCCCCGTTAGGCAGCGCGCGGCCGCGCCAGGGGATCCCGGACGCCCGAAAAGACTCCCGCTCCCTTGGGCTGAAACCTGGCTTTGCAGGCGCCCGGTTCCCTGCCCCGGCCGGGAAGGGCGCCGGTTACTAGAAAGCCAGAGAGGCGGGGCCTGGTTGGGTGGAGGGCGCGGCCGGCCGGCGGAGCGCTAGCCTCAGGTCTTGGAGGCTCTTTGGCTTTCACCCCGTTTCCTGGGGGCGAGGAGGAGGAGGAAGAGCTTCCTGCCGGATGAGGGATCCGGAGGCCAGAAAGGGAACCCGCTCTCACTTCCAAAGCAAAACACTGCCGACGCCAGGTTACATTTTTCGGGTGTTGGCAGGAGACATTTTCCCCCAGTGGCATCACTCGCGTTTTCTCTCCTGGTGCTGGGAGAGAAGAGTTGCGAAGGCGCCTGGACCGCCTGTGACATCCTCTCCCATCTCCTGGAGGAGCGCGGCTTGGGTTGCTTCTTATTGGGTGGGCTTGGGAGACCGGGCATGCGCCCTGGGCCGGAGGAGGGAAGCGAAAGGAGGTCAGGATGTATTTGCTTATTTGGAGATTTTCTCCTGGCCTTTTATTAAAAACCAAGTGGCAGTATAATGGAAGATGGGGAATGAAGCATGGAAAATAAATCAGGACCCTAATTTGCATGGATTTCCTCGTTGGAACAACGTGTGACTACTACTTATCTTGAGGAAATACTTGCCTTGATGCGTTAAGGTATCCTTGGTCCACAGGAGAAAGCACATTTCAGCGCTTCTACTGGAAAGAAGATCTTTACAGTTGTAATTCCTAGTATTTCCTATGTTTTAATGAATGTCCTTTGGTTTGAAGTAGAAGCCATCTTCTTGTTTCAAAAAATACACTTTACTGTTTTGGCTATAAAATCCTCCCTTAAAGGTAACATTCACCTCAGTACACATTTTCAATTCTTGCTGTATGCTCAGGGCAAAAGAACATCAAACTGAAGCACTTATTCAGATCCCTGTTCCTTCACCTGAGGATTTTTCTGTCAGGAGTGGGAAAACATGATTCGTTAATTTACTCCATCATATAGCAGGAGAGATTCTGGTCGACATTTTTGCCTGTTCAGCATTCATTCCCTATTCTGATAATTTCCTTTGAAGAACTATCCTTTATCCACTCTCAGTCCATTTGGTCTGAGCAGGACACAGAGGGAAAGCATATTTGAGTTTTAATCCTCTGTTGTAAACTACAGTTCCTAAGAAGGGTGTTACCTCTTTATCAGTGGGTTTAAATGTGGGAGAATGGAGACCTGGAGCCGTCTTTCCACACGTGAATTCTAAGAAGGCAACATGGAAAAAAAGCAGATTTGAAGACAGAGGTTTGGCTTAAAGATATGTTTGAGGTCCTGAAACCAATGTGGATTAGATTCCTCTGGAAATTTCAGTTAAACCAGTCAGAAATTCTTGCATCTGTTTTATTGCTTAAACCAGTGAGAAGTTTTCTTTCACATGGAGTCAAGAGTCCTGGCTGACAAGAGGTAGGTAGCAAGACAGGAGGCAGAGTTAATAATACTGATAAGGTAGGTTGCAGCCAGACAAGAGAGGGTTTGAATGCTTTCCCTAGGATAGAGGTTTGAATTTTATTCTAGAGACACTGATTTCTCCTTACATTCCCCATCATCTAGAACATATATCTTAAAAAATTCCTTTGCCCTTTTTAATGATTTCATTGTCCTCTCAGTCACCAAGATCAAACCATGTCCATCTTTGACTCCTCCCCCTCTCACTCTGTTTAATTATTTACCAAGACCTGTTGATAATCCCCCGTTTTTCTGCTCAGTCCTCTCTCACTGCTTGAACATTTCCCATGGTTCAGTTCACAGCTTCTCCTTTCTCCCCACAGTCTCTCCAAGAAAAAAAAAAATGGATATTTCTTTTTTTTCTCTTTTCTTTTCTTTTTTTTTTGAGATAAAGTCTCTTCTGTTGCCAGCTTGAGTACAGTCTCATGATCCCAGCACACTGCAACATCTGCCTCCCAGGTTCAAGAAATTCTTCTGCCTCGGCCTTCCAAGTAGCTGTGATTACAGATGCCTACCACTACACCCAGCTAATTTTTGTATTTTTAGTAGAGACGGTTCCACTATGTTGGCCATGCTCATCTTGAACTCCTGGCTTGAAGTGATCCACCCATCTCAGCCACCAAAGTGCTGGGATTACAGGCGCAAGCCACTGTGCCTGGCCTGTATTGGATATTTCCAATAGCTTTTCCAACTTCCAGATCTCACATTTCCATAAAACCAAAATCCTGATTCATAGTTTCATAGATCCTAAATCTATATTCCGTAGCCTTAAACATAATTTCAGATATTCTGTTCACTCCTTGTGAACCTTGCTGTCATTTAAACTGAGTATTTCCAACTTCTCTGTCAACTGATTTCCCCCAGTTGGTAGGCAATGTAGGATAGTGGTTACGAGTACAGAATCAGGAACTAAACTGCCTGAATTTAAATTATAGCTTCACCACTAATATCTGCATGATTTGAGCAAGTTATTTCTCTGTAATTTCCTCATCTGCAAAATGGGATAATTACAATCCTATCTCATAGCATAATTGAGACTCTGTGTGTGTGTGTGTGTGTGTGTGTGTGTGTAATTTTATCTAGTACATAAGAAATTCCATAGAAATATTGGCTATTCTGGTCAATGATATTCCTTTTTGGGTAATTTTCATGTCTCTTACTCTAATTCTTGCCCTAACTTCTATGTCGCATCAGTCACAAAGTTGTATCTATTCTTTCCTAATAACTCTCTCATCCATTCATTGACATTCCTAGTTTTACTACCATAATTTAAGGTGAATTGGAGAACAGGAAGCTTTAAAATATTCTTAATAGGGACTAAAGGTTAAGAATTTTGTTAAAGCTTGCATAGTTTATTCAGTTACTCATATTCTTTCTAGTCCCTTTAAAATAGAACTACAAAACCCTGCCTCATAGTTGAGGTAGTATTGTAGACTTTGTGGTCAAAACTCTTGGCTTAAATTCTGACTAATGCTGAGAGACAGTGAGCATGTCAAGTAATTCCTCTGAGCTTCAGGTACTTATCTGTAAAGTTACAAGAATAAGCATTTCAGAGAACTGTGATGATCAAAGGTAAATTAAGCTGCTGTGTAACAGTTAGGTGGTGATGATGGTGGCTGTAGATCTTTATTATTTCCTGTTGGAACCCTAGGAATAGTTGAAATGACTCACAGATTTTTAACTCCAGCCTTCACTTCTCTCTTAGACTCTATACACACATGTCTAGTTATCTACCTGATGTCTCTTCTTCTGTATCACATATATTTTGGATGCCCCCTTCAATCTATTATCCACAGAGCAGCCAAATTATTTTGAAAATAAAAATGAATTCATGTTATTTTCTTCAAAAACCCTTTTTATCATTTTCCATTACATACAAATTCCTAATTACGGCCACAATAACCTGTTTGATCTGGCCCTTCCCTACCTCTCCATATCTTACTATTTTTGCTGCCTTTCAGTTCCTTGCTAATTTCTCTGTTCTCTCAGGCTTTCATGCATGCTGTGCCCTTGCCTGGACTCCTCCTACCTTTTCTCATGGCTGGCTCCTTCTCAACCTTCATATCTCAAAGATCCTGCCCCCCACCACATAGTATCCACAGTTATTCTCTTCTGTTGTGTTCAGTTTCCCCCATAATACTTACAAGTTTAAATTATGTATGTATTTGTTTGGCATTTATTTTCTTATTAACTATTTTCCCTACCACCACATGGTAAGCTCCAGAAGGGCAAGAACCATGTGTTTTCTTTGCCACTGATATGTGTAGCATCCATTTCAATGCCAGAGGTGAGCTGGGTACAGTGGCACATACCTGTAGTTCCAGCTGAGGTGGGAGGATTGCTTGAGCCCAGGAGTTCAGGTATAGCCTGGGCAATATAGCAAGAACCCATCACTAAAATAAATTATTAAAATTTAAAAATAAAAACCAGGCCAGGTGTGATGGCTCACACCTGTAATCCCAGCACTTTGGGAGGCCAAGGCAGGTGGATCACTTGAGGTCAGGAGTTCAAGACCAGTCTGGCCAACATAGTGAAACCCCATCTCTACTAAAAGTACAAAAACATTGGCCGAGTGTGGTGGTGCACATCTGTAGTCCTAGCTACCTGGGAAGCTAAGGCAAAAGAATCGCTTGAACCTGGGAGGCGGAGGCTGCAGTGAGCCCCGGTCGCACTGCTGCACTCCAACCTGGGTGACACAGTGAGTCAGTCTCAAAACAAAACGAAAAAACACCAATGCTTGAGGTGAATGAATGATATAATGAAGGAATGAAATGCCAGAAAGAAGATTTTTAGGATCATTTTTATCCTAAATTATGACTGCAGGCAGATTATTGTCATGGGGTTGCCTTAGTAATGCACATGAAAATACAAAGGAGAAACAAACTAAAATCAGTTAGTGAAATATGATATGACTAATACTGTTCTAGTGATTGAATACTTGAGAACCCACAAGAATAGATACAGCTACTACCTGTATATGAAGATGCTGATTGAAATCTAAAATAGGGAACAAGAGCATGAAGTACCTCACCTTCTAAAGAGCTGCCAGCTTTTGGGTAAAGAGTGGGTATCTGCTGGCAGATACCCACTCTTTCACCCAAGGATAAAAGTTGGACAAAAAGGTATCTACCATAGGCAAAACCTCCAACTGTCTACCCTCGGACCATATAAGCCCAACATTTGGGAAGAGGAAAAACACCTGAGAGAATTACTAAAGCCAGGTTTCTGGGGAGTGTTATGGCTTTTTCTTTCCTTTTTATGCTTCACTCTACCCCAAGTGAACAAGGCTCCAACAGAATCAGCTAGGTGACTGTGAGAGAGGGAAAGTGGTATCTCATTCACCAGCAAACTTGTTGATATTGCCTTGTACCAACGTGAAACAGGAGTTGGAGAAATAGCTGGCCAGAGAGTGGGCTGAAATAAAGCAATCTACAACATTTACCATTTGGCATAGCAAGGATACCAAAGATGTGTAAGTTTCTCATGGGTCCATTGATGCTGTGTAGAAAGTGCTGTCCAGGTTTGAACCATCTTGACACCAAGGGGGAAAGAAATTCTAGCAGCAAGAGGCTGGATTTACTTCTGGGAGAGGACACTAAGAGAGTAAGTAGAGATAGAGGTACAACTGGTGCATCTCCCATGTCGATTGAGGGACTGTGTAGTTGGGAAGCTGTCCCAGAGTTTCTAGGAGAACTGAGTGTGCCCCATTAAAGAGTAAGTGAACATTTGGATGCAGTATTCATTGTACAGTTAAGGGAAATTTATCCCTTTTATCTCTATTTTCTCTCCCAGTCCGCAACACTAGAGGGATAGGCCCTGAAAGTGTTACTGGTAGAGGGTCATGACTGCATGTTGTCCAAGTTCTTGGCATTTTGAACAAAGAATTGGACAAAACGCCCAGTAAAGCAAAGAAAGGATGAAGCAACTAAAGAACGAAAGCAGGAGTTTATTGACAACGAAAGTACACTTCACAGTGTGGCAGCAGGCCCAAGCAGTGGCTCAGAATCTTCTCAGGTCCAAATACCCCCTAGAGGCTTCCCATTGGCCACTTCATTTCATGGTCACCTCACATAAATGAAGTGGTGGCTCGCAATTGGTTGCCAAAAGCAACCGATCAGGCTAAGGTAAAGTTACAAAGCTGCAAAGGGACACTCAGCCCACAATCAGTCTGATTGGTTGCCAAGAGCCAATTTCCAATCTGCCAGGAACAAAAGGCAAGGGTTTACAAAGGGAGTATCCTCTGGTCCTTTTGTTATGTAGGCATGGAAAATTAGGGTTTTCCTTTAAATCTAGCTCTAGGAAGTTGGCATGAAACAGCCCTAGGTTCCCTGCCTCCAGACCCTATTCTCCTGTCTCAGAAGGAGAGGGAAAAACTGGTTGAAAACAAACCCCACCTTTCATCTTCAGAGTTCCTTAAGTCATAAGTTCAGTCAGAGAATATTTGCTTGGAACTGACATTGGAGTGTTCAACTAGATAGACTTAATAACCCACACTGTGAGATGAGTAAAAAAGAAGATGGTCAGCTTGTTTTTAAAGGATTTGCTGCCTAGTGCTTCTCGAATTTTAATGCGCATATCAATCACCTGGGGATCTCATTAAAATGAAAATTATGATTAAGTTAGTCTGGGATTGGGCCAGAGATTCTGCATTTCTAACAAGCTCCTTAGGAATGCTGCTGATTCTAGGACCACATTTTCACAAACAAGACACCATAAAGTAGAGAAGGGAGATTCAATAGAGCACAGTTGGCAAGAAATAGACAAAAATATTAGGATAAAATATTAATTTTTATCCTTCAAAAAATGAATATTGGCAATTTAAAAAACTTAATTTTGTACCCCTTTGAATATTCATTCAGTAAAATGGGAAACAATATTATATATTAAATAATTTCTGCATATCCTGACAAATATTTTTACCCTAGTCAAATGAGAATATATACATGAAGCAGTGTATGGAAGTAGTAATGACCCGTGTTGGCAGCCATCAGAATGTGTGCATGCACGTTGCTAAAGAGCAGGGCTGGAATCACAAGCAGACAGTTCTAACATGATACGATTTTATAATTTTTACAAATGTTAAAGTCTTCAAAACTGTTTGTGGGCAAAAACTTACTGCCACCTGGTGGATCTGAGTTAAGACAAAGGGAAATATCTTTTTTAAGCTCTCCTAAATACTATTAGTACTTCTTTGTTTTAACTTTAAAAAGAAAATAGATAAATATGTATTTACTTTTAAAAAGACTACAGTTAGGGGGACTTTTTGCATTTGGTTTCATTTGGAGGGGAAAATAATGCATATGAATATTATTTTGATAAATATGATTATATACATTAGATGGCTTTAGAGTTACATTGTCACTTTAGAAAATGGCTCTTCCTTTCATTTCCAGGGCTGGTTTTATCCTGAATAGTAACTTATCCATCCATTTCTGAAGGGTTCAGGAATTGGGTAAATAAAACTAGGTAATTACCTCTTTGACATGTGTGTGTAATGCTATAATAAAGACCACTGTGTGTGACCTCTCTGAACTTTCCTCCATCTAGTCCCAAGATGTATATTTACTATCTCAGAAGAAAGGGGTTTTCCTAATCCTTTCCAAAATTAGATCACTCAATGTTCAGTTACCTCAATTCTCATCAATTTATTTTTGTAATCTAGGCATTTAAACCTAGTCTAGATTCTCTCACAAACATCAATGAACATCCATAATGAGAATTATGGGTAATGAATTTTAAAAAGGAGAATAAAATCTGTCACTGAACTCTTATATGCTGGATTTACCAACCTTTTCTCTAAAAGTGATGTTCATTATTATGCCAAGAGGAAACATCCTATAGGCCTTCTGCAGTGTGCTAATGTATATTTTCTCATGATGAATTCTTCTGTGATTACTATTAAAATATATAGATCATCCTATGATATATTTTTCTCACCTCTCCTCAGGATTTAGAAACTTATATGGCATAGTGTTCTAATAATTCTAGAGTTTAACTATTAGTGAGAATACTTAGTAATTTTCTAACTTAGTAACTACTCAGAACAATAATAATGAATGGAGATGTTTTTTATGTATTTTTCAGAATTTATTAATTGCATTGTGCTATTAAGTGGTTAATTTTTTAATAGGTAAGAGATTTCAAAGAAAAAGCATTATGGTCATAAATTTAAAACTTTTTACTTAAGTCTCTGGACTTTAAAATGTGTTGAACTTAAAAAAAAAGTTTCATGGTTTTCTATCATTGCTTTAATTCATAGTTCTCTTTGGAAGTGAGTAAGCAAGAAAATCCTTGTAATATTTCTGTTTTTGTCCAACATGGGTTAGAAAAAGCATAAACCACAGAAAAATATTAAGGGCTTAATACAAATTCTGTTTTTTGTAAGAGGCAACAATGAATATTCTGAAATGACAAATTTTTGAAATGGCAAATACATCATAATTCTAATATAAAATGAAAATAAAATAAATATATTTATAAATTTTCTGATCTCTAATTATAAAAGCAGTCATAAGTAAAACATTTAGTACACATATACTTTAAAAGCTGTTTATTGAATATTTCTCTCTATTTGGTATCATTATCACTGTTGGAGCTATTACTGTCATCATGAATAGAAGTGTTTTTAATTGAAGATACCATCATATCTACAATGTCTTTTTTGGGATTTTCTTCCAAATCAGTCTGTATTGCTCCAACTTCTGCTAGCTTCCATTCAAGTTCTGTAATAAATAACCCATCGTTAAGTCAGTTAAAAATCTTGGAAAAATGAAGAATTTTTTATCTATATGAAACAGGACTTGACTGTTAGTAATATTACCATGGAAATGATGATCTATTTATTTATAGTTTTTTTGTGTTTTTTTTTTTGTTTTTTTTTTTTTTTTTTTTTTAAACAAAGTCTTACTCTCTCACCCAGCTAGAGTGCAGTGGCACAATCTTGGCTCATTGCAACCTGCACCTCCTAGGTTCAAGCGATTCTCATGCCTCAGCCTCCCAAGTAGCTGCAATTACAGGTGCATACCACCACACCCAGATAATTTTTGTATTTTTTCAGTAGAATCAGGGTTTTACCATCTTGGCCAGGCTAGTTTCAAACTCCTGACTTTAAGTGATCCACCCACGTTGGCCTCCCAAAGTGCTGAGATTACAAGTGTGAGCCACCATGCCCAGCCTGATGATATCTTTAGAACTAAGTGACAGTAAAAGAGCTACAATATTAAAATACACATTAGATACAGCAGAGTTATACTTAAAGGGAGAAATTATGGTTATACTGGGTATTAGTCTGTTTTGTGATAACAGAATACGTGAGACTTGGGTAATTTGTAAAGAACAGAGATTTCTTATACTTCTGAAGGCTAGAAAGCACAAGGTTGAGGGGCTACATCAGGTGAGGGCCTTCTTGCTAAGGTTATGCCATGGCAGAATTCAAGTGAGTTAGAGACAGTGAGTGAGAGAGAGCAAGAGAGGGCTGAACTTAGTTTTAAACCAAACCCATTCTCACGACAACAACCCCATTTCTGCAATAATGACATTAATCCATTCTTGGGGGCAGAGATCTCAAGACCTAATCACCTTTAAAGGTCCCACTTCTTAACACTGTTGCATTGAGGATTATTAAGGGGACACATTCAAACCATAGCCTTCTACCTCAGCCCTCAAAATTCATGTCTTCTCACATGCAAAATACATTCATTCTATCCCAATAGCCCCAAAAGTTTCAACTTGTTCCAACATCAACTTAAAAGTCCAATGCTTTGCTGCTTAGATAATTCTTTTGCCAGATACTCTAGTTCATCATTCTAAATTCTGCCTTCCATAAAAATCATAGGACATGGACACAATTCTGCCAAGTTATTTTCAACTGCACATAAGGATGGCCTTTACTTCAGTTTCCAAAGCTTGTTCCTCAGTTTCATCTGAGACTTCATCAGAGATCTTTGAAATCTTGGTGGATTTACAATCCATATTTCTACCAGCATGCTGATTGCAACTACTTAAATAATCTCTACAAAGTCCCAGTCTTTCCCTACAGTTCTCTTCTTCTGAGTCCTCAACAGAATCACCTTATTGCTCCATTCATGGCAATCTAGGCTGCTTCTAGCCTGTTCCTCTAAGTTCTTTCAGCCTCTATCCATTATAATAATCTTTCCATAACAGAGGTTTCACTTTCTGTGGTTTCAGGTACTCAGAATAAAGTACAATAAGACAGTTTGAGAGAGGCCACATTCATATAATTTCTATTACATTATCTTGTTATAATTGTTCTATTTTATTGTTAATCTCTTATTTTGACTAATTTATTGATTAAACTTGATCATGGGTATGTATATATAGAAAAAACATAGTATCTATAGAATTTGGTACTATCCACAGTTTCAGGCATGCACTGGAGGTCTTGAAACATATCCTCCCATTGGTAATGGGGAACTACTATACCCAGATTCAATGTCAGTTCCATGTTTTCAGGTATCTGTTATGTAAGTACCACGTGATAACCAGTTGTGCCACTTAAGCTCCAACATTTTCAAGTATTTGTTACAGCAAACAACCCCACTTCTTGGTACCAATTTTCTGTCTTAGTCTGTTTTGTGCTGCTGTAATAGAATACTACAGACTGGGTAATTATACAGAAAAGAAATCCATTTCTCTCAATTCTGAAGGCTGGGAAGTCCAATATAAAGGTACCAGGAATCTGGAGAGGGCATTTTTGTTCTGTCACTCCCTCATGGAAGGTGAGAGGATGAGAGGGAGAGCAAGAAAGAACCAAACTCAGTTTTATAACAAGCCCACTCTAGTGATAAGGAAGCCACTCATGTGATAATGAACCTACTTCTATGATAGCAACATTAATCCATTCATGAGGGAAAAGCCCTCATGACCTAATCACCCCTTCAAGGTCCTACCATTCAACACTTTCGCATTGGGAATTAAGTTTCCAACACATGAATTTGGGGAGACACATTCTATAGTGACATTTTTTTTAAAAGGGCTGAAAAATGGTTTAAAAGTTCAAATCAAAAAGCTAGGAAAAAAAACCAATAAAGTAAAACCAAGAAGAAGGAAGGATATAATGAAGAAAATACTTTAGAAAAGCAGAAAAGTAAAAACAATAGAGATGGCCAGCAAAATCAAAAGCTGGTTTTTCGATGAGACTAATAGACATATCTCAGGCAAAAATGATCATAAGAAAATAAGCAAAACAACATATTTACATGGGATACAACCAAACAAGGACAAGATATAATTTTATACCCATCGAGTTGACAAAAAAACTAACAGTCTAACTGGTGAAAATCTAATGAAGCTATAAGTAAATGGGATCTCTCATAAAGATTAAAATACTCAAAAAATTTTAAAAGTCATGGGACTACTATGGAAAAATGCATGTCAATACATTTGAAAACTTTAATGGGGACAGACCCAAGATGGCCAAATAAGAACAGCTCTGGAGTGCAGTTCCCATTGAGAACAACACAGAGGGTGAGTGATCACTGAATTTCCAAATGAGTTTTTACTGCCCGCAGACCAGGAAATTCCTGGGCTGAAAAGTGCCATTAGTTTCCAGCACTGCCACGGGTCTGCGCACAAAAACTCACACAAATCTGGGTGGCCATTTCAACTGGCACCTGGAACGCCTGTAATACAGAGCCACCCATTCAACTGAAAAAAAGGGGGCTGAAACAGGGAGCCAGGTGATCTGGCTTAGCAAGTCCCACCCCCACAAAACCCAACAATCTGAATCACTCTGGATTGGGAGTTTCACAGCAAGTGCTGCTGGACCTGGGACAGTCCAGCTTGGTTAGGGGAAGGGTGTCGGCCATTACTGAGGCAATCCACCACTACCGAGGCAATCTGCCATTACCAAGGCAGTCCACCATTACCGAGGCAGTCTACCATTACTGAGGCAATCCACCTTTACTGAGGCAGACTGCCATTACTGAGGCAGTTCTAAGTGTACCTCTGTAAACAAAACTGCAAGGAAGTTCACACAGCAGCTGGGCAGAGCTCACAGCAGCTCAGCAATGCCTCTGCTGGCAGACTGTGACTAGACTACCTCTGTGCTGGGCAGGGCACCTCTGAAGAAAGGCAGCAGCATGTCAGGAACTTATAAATAAAGCCCCACTTTCCCAGGACAGAGCACCTGGGAAAAAAGGTGGTTATGAGTTCCACTGCAGCAGACTAAAACTTACCTGCCCAGCAGCTCTGAATGGAACAATGGAGCTCCCAGCTCAGCACTTGAGCTCCTATAATGGACAGCCTGTCTCCTCAAGCAGCTCCTCAACCCCCATATATCCAAAGAGACACCTCATAAAGGAGAGCTCAGGCTGACATCTAGTGGGTATCCTTCTGGGACAAAGATAACAAAAGAAGAAACTGGTAGCAACCCTTAATGTTCTGCAGCCACCGCAGGTGATCTCCAGGCAAGCAGGGTCTGGAGTGGATCTCCAGCAGTCCTGTAGCAGAGGAGCCTGACTGTTAAAACAAAAGCTAAAAAACAAAGAAATAACTTAGTCATCAATAAAAAGGATGTTGACTCAGAGACCCCATCTGAAAGTCACCAACTACAAAGACCACAGGTAGATAAATCCACGAAGTTGGGAAGAAACTAGCACAAAAAGGATGAAAACACCAAAAACCAGAATGCCTCTCCTCCTCCAAGGGATCACAACTCCTTACCAGCAAGGGAAGAAAGCTGGATGGAGAATGAGTCTGATTAATTGACAGAAACAGGCTTCAGAAGGTGGCTAAAAGAACATGTTCTAACCCAATGCAAAGAAACTAAGAACCTTGAAAAAAGGTTAGATGAAATGCTAAATAGAATAAACAGCTTAGAGAAGAATATAAGCAACTTGATGGAGCTGAAAAACACAACACAAGAACTTCACGAAGCATACAAGAGTTTCAAGAGCCAAATCAAC